GACGCAGCTTACACTTTTTCAACGTACGGCACAAATATTTCTTTTTTTTTATAACTTTTTGGCTGGTAAAATCTAGAATAAGAATTTAAACTACAGAAAAATTAAAAGATTTCAAAAGTAAAAATTATTGTTTTTTTTATGCATTTATGTTTAAATATTTTGTATGCTAATAAATATTTGCTGTTGATTTAGTGCATTAAGTTTGAAAAACTTCTGATAATCTAATAATTTAAAATTTCTTTCTAATTGTCCAAATAATGTTATACCAAGAGTTATAATGCATTTATTATTCAGTTTCATTTATTTGCATTAACTTAATTGTGAGTATAAAGAACTTTCGTTAGTCAAAGAAGCACTTAAACAAAATTTTAAATTTCATGTGTATTTATTATTTAATTTTATTTGATTTGCACTAATTTAATATGTGATATACAGTAAAGATTTATTAATTCAAGCATTTAAAATAAGCTATTAAATTTAATATTTATTAATTACATGTATTTGTATTAATTTAATGCATCAGATATGATAAGTGGTACTTACTTTAAATAAATTGATAATTTACTAAGCTGTTACTTAGGGTTGGTAATGAAGCCAATAAAGCTTAATAATTACATAAATAGTGCTCAAAAAACTAATACCTATTGGCTTCATTCAGAGCTCTATTGGCTCTATCCATTGGGATCCATTGTCAACCCTGGGTATCATCTAGACTATATTTACCCAAGAACTTTTGTTGATCCAAGTATATAAACCATCAAATTTCACAAATATTTACTAGTTAATTTCATATTTGTGTCAATATAATATATAATCTAAATAATATTTCTAATTTAAACATTTGATAAACTATAAAATTTATAAATACTTGACACTAGGAATGTTAAATCGATCTGATTCAGATCATGATCTCAAGAATTAACAATCTAACTATAATTAGAATATTTCTATAACGGCAATTGCAGATCTTGGTTTATAAACCGACACCGGAGCAGATCATCAGGTCATTTTAACATCCCTACTTAACACTATTATTCTCGCTCGGATCAATTTAACAAATTTATTGATTAATGGAACTACACAGTGGGAGCTGTGCCACGCTGCGGCTCTAGGCCCCAATGCAATTTAACTTAAATTATACATTTTTAAATACATAAAATAATTGTGGCATACATGGGTGCCAAAATTATTTTTGAAAAAAAGCATTTTCGGCAAACATTTCGACACTGCTAAATTTTTTATATACACCCACCGAAAAACTATACTCTATGATGTATTCTGATGAGAAGAGTTCAAAAAATTTCGGCAATAATTTCGGCAAATATGAAAATTAATTTTGGCATATATAAGACTAATTTCGGCTGCTGAAATGCCGTAATTACTATTTTATTAAGATAGGTAATTTCGGCACCCATGTATAACTTGTGGTCATATAGCGAAGAATAAAGTAGATCGGTCATGTGACGAGTGACTCAAAAGGATAGAAGGGAATGGCAATCAATACTAAATTACTTTTATCATTTAACATCAGATGAGCGTCATGGAGCAAGCCGTTGAGCAAGATCATCCACAAGTCAGCAAACAAGTCAGCAAGCAAGTCCCCGAGCAGCAAAATTTTAAATTTCATATTTTCTTTTTCTCTTTTCTCTTTAACTCATTATTATTTCTTCACATCAGATGAGCGTCGTGGAGCAAATCGCTAAGCAAGCCCACCACAAGTCAGCAAGAAAGTACCGAGCATTTCAATTCTCAATCTCATTTTTTCTTTTTCTCTCCTCGTTTGATTTGTCTTTATCACTTAACATCAAATGAGCGTCGTGGAGCAAGTCGCTGAGCAAGATTACGCACAAGTCAGCAAGCAAGTCCCCGAGCATCTCAATTCTCAATCTTCTTTTTTTCATTTTTATCATCTAACATTGTGAAGCAAGTCACTGAGCAAGACTATCCACAAATAAGCAAGCCCACTCTCTTTCTTCTTTTTTCATCCTTGGGTGGAGTAGGCGGGAACACTATGAAAGAGCCAGACAAAGTCGGGCAGTGAAGGAAAAAGGCTTCAATCTTACTATTATATATCGTATCTTTTTCTTTCTTGTTTTTTTCCTAACTTAAATGACAACAATAATTCCATAATGCGTCCTTAGGCTTAGTTTAGCATGTGAAGATCCTCACGATAATAACCTTAGCATAACTATCATTATGCATCAGGCTATTCGCTTAATTAGTGAGCATAAAGGTTACATACTTATATTCGAATTTAAGAGTTATATAAATAAGGTAATTCTTATAATAAAAAATTATTTATTCGACAGATCAGTGGGTACATATCAATATTTTAACATTTCTAATATTCTGTTACTCTGCTGAAATTTAAGATCTATATTTGTCGAATCTAACAATTTTAAGTTGATAACTATATAAAATCAAATTTAATAACTAAGTTTGATAAATTTATAAAATACAATAAATTTGTTTTTTTAAAAAAAAATGTAAATATAATAAGATTATTCTTTAAATATTAAAATGTTCTTAATTTTAGAACGATTATGATATATGGCCATCTAATTGAAACGATATTCATAAAATTTACAATTTCAAAGGTTGTTTCATTTAAACATATATTTAAGGATATAGATATGTTGATCTTCAAGGTTTGTAATAGATGTAATATCTAATTTGTGATCTATTTTCGTGCTTATAAACCATTATAGTAGAATAAAAAATAACAGTAAAATTAATAAAAGGAGTTGTAAATAAAATAGTCAGATAAGACTAAATTTTTATTTTAATATTTTAATAAAACCTACTTATTTAATAGGGGGGAAGATGTCTACATAATCCAAATTCCGTTTTAAAAACAACAATTGGTGCAGAAGGTAAGAGTCTAATCGATTCCTCTTGGGAGTTACATGATTGCCTGCATCTGAGAATAAGCGTTCTGAGGGAACTGAAGAAGCGGGAATTGCAAGATACTTTTTTGCAAGTGTGCAAAGAATCAGAAAATTAGATTTTTGTTGCTTCCACCAATATAATAGATCATTTTCTTCTGTTTGATCTATTCTAGGAAGCAGAAGATATTTGTCAAATTCGGTTTGTTCATTAGATTTATCCTGCTGTTTAATTGAAGAAAAAAAACTTTTCATTGCTGAGTCTTTCTTTTTTACAATTTGCGAATCTCTTTGTTGTCTAGCATCTTCATTTTCTATTTGATTTGTCTGTCTATTTAATTCATTAAACTGACATCGTAACTCAGCAATTGTTCTTTGCTTTAGTGTCTAGCAAAAAAAGCAGCTATATTTGATTAGATGATTTTTTTAGAAGCATTAAATGCATATACTGTAACATCTGAATGCAGGTACTCAAGTATTTTCATTACTAATTTTTGTACCCGGGTACCTAGTATGATATATACTGTATAGCTTATATAATGCTTTTGTACCCAGGTACAAATTACTGTTTAGCTTCTAAAACTGGTAAAAAATACATACCATGGGATATCTGCATTCAGATTTTACAGTACCGTTTGC